GTGTGTCCTTGTTTGTGTGTTTCTGTTTGTTTTGTGTTTGTCTATGTCTGGTTGCTTGAGTTTGTGTGCTTGCTTTCGCTTGCGTGTGTATGATTTTTGTATGTCTTGTTGAGTTTGTGTATGCCTGTTTGCTTGTGTTAGTGTTTAAGTGTCTTTGACTGTGTGACTGGCCTGCTTTTATGTTTGTATGGGCCTATCTGCTTTCTTATGCTTGTGTCGTTTGTATGATTATGTTTATGTGTGTCTAAATATCTGTTTGTATTGATTGCGTGTATCTGTCTAATTACTTGTTTTTATTTGTGCCTTTGGCTGCGTGCTTGAGTTTATGTCCATCTGCTTCCTTGATTTTGGGTCTGTCTGCTTGCCTGTGCCGTGTGCTTGTCTCGTGCCTGTCTGCTTGTATTCATATACCTCCAGATATGTGCTTGGTCTATTTTTCCGTTGTGTTTGTGAGTGCAAAGCTGTGTTTGACTAGTCAACTTGTATGATTGACTGTTTGCATAGTCTGCCGGTTTATTTGTCTAGACATGTTTTTTGTGTGCGTTTGGTTGTGTGCTTGATCTTTGCTTGGCTCTGTTTGGTTGAGTACCTCGTCTGTTTGTTTGGGTCTGTGTATACTCTTATATTAGGCTGAATATACCCTGTGATTTTGTTTATTTGTGTGTTTGTTTATATGTCTGTAGGAAGATGTCTATGTAGCCTTTGCCTGTGCTTGGAATGTGTTTTGTTATTGCTTGACTGGTGTGCCTGTATGATTGTATTATTATTTTCATTATCCCTATCATCATCAGTATTACCAACATCATCACCATCATCATCATCACAATCATCATCATCATCACCATCACCACCATCATCATCATCAGAATCAGCTTTATTCATATTTACTTTATTACACTTACCATTACTACCACTATTTATGCTACTAATATACATCTACTACTATAATACTGCCACTACTAGAAATATTACTACAACTACTACTATACTACTGCCACTACTAGAAATATTACTACAACTACTACTACTACTACTATCACTCTTACTAGTAGTAGCAGTTTCCTTATCATACGCGTCAATTATATCAATATTATAACTATTAAATTACTGCTGTTTTTGTTAATGCCAATTCTCATTCTTCTGTTTTTATTACTTAATTATCATCATATTCTCATTATCATTATGTAATTGTCACTAATTCATATTTATGTTATCATATTGACATCACCATTTTCCTATTGATGTCATTAACACATCATTCATAGGTTATTAACAGCAGTACATTGTCTACATTGGTATATCATTAATGTATCTATATTAATATTACTATTAATTAATAATGATATTGATAATAATGATTATTATCGTTGCCAGATTATTTCTTGACATAATACTATGAGTGCCATATTTATACCGTTGTCATGTCATAATTATCATAATCATGTCATAATTATACCCTTATCATTATCATAATATTATCATATCGTTAACATGATAACATTATGATAACATCTGATTACCATATCATTATAAATTACTATCATGATCATTGTAACAATAATAAATGCCATTACGGGTTTAGAAAGGGATATAACAGTATCATGATATTGATAGTTATTATGATGCATAGGCCTAAAGCTCTCTTCAAGATGAGACATATCGCTTACTTTTCATTGTCAAAACCATATAATTAGTGAAATATTTGATCATTTACTATAAATATCATTATTCATTTTCGTTATCATTATAATAAGTTTTTTGTCTCCACATTATCAGGCGGTAATAATTTTCTTCTTGTATTTAAAACTGAGATTTGTATCGTCGGTGAATTTAACTGTCCTACGCCCATTTTCTTGCCTCGAATTAATTATCAATTTCTCTCACTTCCTTCTTCGCTTTGTCATTCCTCATTCCTTACCCACCTTACCTTCTCCTTTCCCTTTTTTTTCTTACCTCATTCTTCCTCTCCTTTCCCCCCCCCCCCCCCCGCTCTGATTTCTGTCCTCGTCTTCTGTCTCCCTCTCTTTGTCTCTCCTCCTCTCTCCCCCATCGTAATTTTCTTCACTTCTTCCTCTCCTTCCCCTCTTCCCACCCGCTCCGATTTCCCTAACCCTTCCTCCACTCTCTACCCCCCCCCCATCCCCTCCAATTCCTCTCTCCCCCTCCTCCCCCGCCTTCCCCCCCTGCCTTTCCCTTCTCCCCTCCCCTCCCCTCCCGCCCCCCGGCAGAGATGGAGCAGCCCACGGATCCGCCGTCGTACTACGAGGAGGAGATGGACCTGCACGAGAACGAGGTCGGGCGCGGCGGCCACACGCCCGACATCTTCACGAACGAGATCCCTGCGTACGGGCGGCCTCGCTCGTGGGAGGGCGACACCGTGCCGACCAAGTACAATGACGTCATCACCAGAGGCGGCCACGGGACCTACGGCGGGCCCAATCACCGCGCTCCCTCGCAGCCCTCGGTCGAGAAGAAGCACCCGATTGGCGGAGACCCGAAG